GGGCGGGGCGGGAGGCATGCGCTCAGCTCCCCGGGCCCGCCTCGGCCTTGAAATGGAGAATTTGTCTGAAACTGATCGGAGCTGGTCAATTTCAGACAGCTCCGCAGGGCTGCGATAAATCACGCCGGGAAGCGGCACCCACCGCGCAGCCCGCCCGCCCCTCGCAGAGGCGGTCACCTCTGAGCCGCAGCCGCCCCTCGCGAGCCCGCAAACACAAACAAACAAACAAACAAGCAAAAAACCACCCGGGGAGGTGGGAAAAGACTCTCCGATCTCCCCGCAGCGCCGCTCACTTCGCATCGGCAGCCGCCTCCCCGGCCGCGGGGGCTGCAGCCTGGAAGGAGAGGGAGAGGCTGGCCCCCTCCGCACACCCCTCCTTCCCCAAGCCGGAGAGACACGCATCCAGCACTAGAGGCGACTGCTACATCCTCGGGTCTCCAGAGCTGCAGATGTGGCGGAGCGGCAAAGAGTCCTGCTGGGGGTGTGCGAGGAAAACCAGCTCTTTCTTCTTTCAGACGAGATCTCCATCTGCTTTCGCTCCTGGATCCTGGTGCAAAGCTGCTCTCCCTGCTCCGCCGATTTACCGGCGGCCGTGAACATTGCGGGGCGATCCTCCGGTCCCCCTCTCTCCCCACCAGCCGCCCCCCAACATCTTAACGCCGGGGGCGAGTAGGCACACGGGCACGCACGCACGCACAAAGCGGCAAGGAGAAGCGCCTCTCCTGCCTGCTGCCACCCCCGAAGGAAAGGTAAGGAAAACTGCTTAATATTCAGGGCATTCGCCGTGTGATATTTCCAACTCTTTGTCACGCTGTTTTCCCTTTTTTTCTGGCGGGGACAGGAGTGCCCCCCCCCCGGGTGCAGACCGCCACACATTTCTCCTGACTGGTTGCAGATTTCTCCCCTGTCCCGTCCCCCCGTTTCCCCACCCCCCCAGCCCTAGGGCTTGGAGTGAGAAATTGTGGTATGGATTGTTTTGGCTGGTGCCATGTGTGGGGGGTGGAGGGGGTGGGCGAGCAGGTTGCCATTTGTCTGGTGTTTTGGTAGGTACCATTCATCTTGGGCTGTTGTGCAAATCTCAGGTCTTTCCCTCTTGGTGGCTTTTCCTTTATATTATTTTATACATGTAAAACAGAAAACTTCAGCATGAAAGTTCAGCCTCTCCCTTGGGCTGACATATTTGCACGCAAAGCTTCATTGAAGCTGGCTTTTATATAGAGGGGGTTTATACTGAACTGCACCAGGAAGTTAATTGGGTGTCATGGAAATATATGAAGGGGAAGCCAGCATTTTTTAGGAAGGGCAGGTTTTAAAGACACCCCTCTTTTTGTGAATGACCCGCAAATAAATAAACCCATCATTTCAAAGCCAAGTCTGAGTGTCCAGGGCTGTTTGAGCTGAGGAGGGAGTCGCCCTCCAGTGAACCTGCCTCTCTTTTCCTCTTGGAACAGAAAGGAAATTTTTCTCCCTTTTTCTGACAACAAGGACCGAGCAATTCAGCAGCACTCAAAACAATGCAGGGCAATGTTAATAAATGGTGATAAATAGAGGCTTCAGTCAGCCAAAGGTTTAGAGTAAGGCCCTTGGCTGCAGCATTTAAATGGGAGCGTTCAGTTGCCATTGTATGGGGAGACAAGAGACTGCAAAGAGGAGGGATGTCAGAGGTCCCTGCAGGGGCTTCCCTAGGTTTGTGCATCAGGAACTTAGTTCCTTAGCTGGTCTAGAGCCAGTATTGAGCCTTAGAGTTATTCTTATCTCACTACAGTGCTGCGACTATGTGAGGTTCTTCACATGCAGAGATGTACCTACCTCAAAACACTTGAAGTCAAAGCTCGTCTGAAAATCACTTGATTAGCTGCAGGAGCAAGCTGCTGCTGCCGGCAAGGGCTTGTGTCCCAGTAATGAAAATAGAGGTTGCCCTTCAGGGCGAGATAAAGCTGGGCTGGCAGCGCCCGCCTGGCACCTGTTGACATTTGGAATTGTCAGTGGATTTTGGGCTGAGGAGGGAGCCTGCAGTGGCCTGGCCCTGCCCTTCCAGTGGGTTCCTTTGATGCCGACTGTGAGGGTAGTGACAGCTAGTTTGGATGACCAGTGCTTGTTCATGTTCTAGCAACAGATTGGATCTGAGGCCAATGGGCTGCATGCTCCTCCTCTTTCAGATGAAGGCACTGAACACTGAGCAAGAGGGCAGCAAGGGAGTGTTCATAAGGGGATCCCAGGCATTTTTGTGCTAGACATCAATAGTTGTTGGTGGCATGGGCAGCTTCAGTGTTGCAGCTCAGGAATTCACATGACAGCTGTTCAGGTGCAACTGGGGCAGGTGCTGGGTGCATTGCAGTAGCAAAGTCTGTACTAATGGGGACTGCCTGATTCTGCAGTTAATGAAGATCATGGGCTGTGAACTTATCTGGTGTCTCAAGCTAAGCAGGAGCCAGGCCTGGCTGATGTTATGATGGGTGACCTCCAACAGAGGGGATTAATGTATTGCTGGCAACCAGGTTGCTACCTTGGTAGGGGTGCTTTTACCTCTTGATTCAGGCTGAACCATTGCCCAGCCTGGTGTAAGGCAGCACTGTGTTGCTAGAGGTGCCTTTTGTTTGTTTTTCGGTAAAACCTGGAGCCTGATGATTTGTGGTCATTGGATCCCATGGCAATTTGCACAGCAGAACGGGTGTCCTGGCCATGAGCCACCTTGGGTAACTACATCCTGCTGATTTAAATTCACCCATCAGTTTCCACGGCATGCAGTGTTCTTCTCCACTCCCTCCAGCTGGAGTGGTGCTGTGCCCTGTTCAATGGCTGCTGTGTTCCACTCCAGAGGTGACAGCATTTCAGTGGTGGGTGATGTGATTTGAGCAGGCCCATGTTATTGTGGAGACAACTGCAGCAAGGGACTCCATCCTTCAGGCTGTCTTGAGGTTCATGTTTCAAGCTGGGCTGAAATCCCTTCCCATGACTGACTTCAGGCTCCAAACAGAACACAGGAAGGCTGCAGAAGACAGCTGAATTTTCCATGATCTTTTTAATGTCAAATATTGATTAATTTTTACTGAAAAATGAGCTTTTTTGACATCTTGCCCTGGCAGTCTCTCTCTCTCTCTCTCTCTCTCTCTCTCATTAAAAAAACGACAGTCTGAAAACCTCAGACTTCACCCCCTTGCACTCCCACGCATTCTCAACACATCCCACAGAAAAGCCATTTTAGAGCATCCACAATTTAAATGCAGCAAGCAATAAATCATAACTTATGGCCACACACGGCTCCTGAGCCCTAGTCCAGCCCCTAGTTCTCTGGCCCACCCGCTAACCTTGTTAAGCTTTGGTTATTTATTTTTAATGAGTTTCATAAGAATAAATGGCAATAGCAGCTTCTGGCAGGCAAGGAGGGTAGAGGGGCAGAGTGGGGTACAGTGCTGGCTCCGGTGTGGGGCTAGCCAGCAGAGCTGGGCACAGCTGTGCCATGGGAGCCAAGAAGACAGGAAGACTCCTTAACCAAGCCAAGCTCCTCCTCTCAGCCCCACTCCCAGTCAGCCCAGCTTTAGGCCTGCCCTGCTCCCCACACACACCTCACTTCCCAGATTAGGTTCTCCTCATGTTCCTCACCCCAGTCTACTTTTAACATTGATGAATCTAGACACTAATAGAGCCCAAAGTGATCCCTGCCTACAGGCATAATCACTTTCTTTTTACAAACCCAAGGACATTTCCTTACACAGCCCATTCCCAGCCCAGCTGTAGGCACCTAGGACTAGTCCCTTCACTCCCTATCTCTGGCACAGGGCCCTGCCTTATAGGAGTGTCATGTGAGAATTGTAGAAAAGAAGAGCTAGAAGGGACCTGCAGATGTTACTCGGTACAGCCCCCCTGCTGGAGGCAGGGTCATCCCTAACCAAACCATCCTGTACAAGCCCTTGTTTTGTATTCTGAAACTACACCATTAACTATCACACAACCACAAGGTGTATTGCCCAAAGAAACAAAAAGCACCCTAACCCGCCCCAGATAAAGCAAGAAGATGAGGGCTGTCAGGGTCCTGCTGCTAGAGTTGTTAAAATGCACTGAAGAGATCCAAGGAGGGTAGAGTCCATTCATGATTGAGTGTTTGTGCACTGTCATGAGGGTCAGATAGATACAGAGAGAAACACTCCCCTCAATGCATTAGTTAAACAGTGAGTCAGTCACCACTTGAGACACTATTCACACTTCCACTGCTCTCAGCTCACAGACCTACCACCCAGAGACTTCCACATTTCCCTGCACACTCCCTTCCAGACTCAACCTCCAACCAGTCCCAGTGCACACAATCATCCTTGCACACTGAACCAGCCCCCTGCTTCCTTCCTTGACTAGTAGCATGTTTACAACTAAAAGTACGTTGTTGGAGAACATGTGCTTTTCTAGCAGGGGTCAGAACTCAAGTTGCACATGTGATTGTGAAGAACTCCACATGTGTGGGTGTGTTGGGACTGAAGGGATCTGGGGGCCAGCTGGTGAGGTGGGGATACATGTGCATGGCATGATGTTGGGGGTAAGGATGGTAGGGATGTTCATGTTGACTTTAAGCAGTGATTCCTTGGGTGATAAGTGACTGTGTTGCTTGAAAGGGTATTTTGGCAACCTTCACTGTAAATTAGTGATATTTTCTGATGGGGCAATGTAGTCTAAGAGAGCAGGAACGCAAGAGTAGGTGATGCGATGAAAGGGCTTTATGGGTGGCATAGGTGTTGGATAGCCATGCTATTTTTGAACAGTGCATACAGGACATCCCAGATGTGTGCTGATACCTTCTATATCACACTGCATACTACTCTGTTCTGCGTAGGCCATGTACATTACCAGAACGTGTTCTAGAGGTCATATCATTTGTGCTGGTGCTCTTTCTTGATTTCTTCCACCTCTGAAGCCAAGTGCCTTGGTTATGAGGAGTCCATTTGTGCAGGACTTGGGGAGAGAGAGAGAGGAATGTTCAGTGTTCTGTTACTATAAAGTGATCTCAAATAGCTTTCCTGGCCATAAAGTGGTCACACGTAACAATTGGCCATTCTGGGCCTGTTTTGGTATAATTAAGGTGAGACTCCTACTTTGGAGGGAAAAGAAGAAACCTTTCTTCAGCAGGAAAAATAAGAAAAAATAAGAAAACTGGTAGCTCTTCAGACATGCTCAGAGCTTAGGGATCTCTCTCAAGTCCTAGTGGTGATGGAGAAGGCAGAGCTGGTACAGGTTGGGGTGTGTGGGCCATTTGGCTCCTTGGCATTCATCTCCAGGATGTCATGTAGCATCGTCTCATGCTGATATCCCAGCAAAGAGCTGCAGCTCAGGAAATGTCAGGCGATGGGGATGGATTTTGGGTTAGGGGAACCATTTGTCCATGTTGTTAAACCCATTGCCTATTGTTTCTTTATACCTGGGCTAGCTCCATACCTTGATCTTGTGACACCTGAGACTGAACCCCCAGTTTTGCTGCAAACACAACTGGCGTGCTCTTCCAAGGCTCTGGGCTTCTCATGGGGCAGCACTCCAGAGCCTCATGATTTGTAAAGTCCCTTTCAAAGAGCAGGTCCCCAAGCTGCCTAACTGAGGAGAAGGAAGCAGACCCTGAGCTATCTCCACATCCTGTCCCATTGCCAGATGGACACCTCAGACCCACTGACCTCGGCCCTATGTACCCTGTCTCCTGCTGCTGTTGGTGCTGAAATTGTGGCTGGTTTGCTTTGCTTTCTGTACACTGCATCATGAACCCCATTTCTACCTTACAGGTCACCCTAAGCCATATCTCCTTCCACCAGCCTGCCTGACAGGGAGGCAAACTGATTTGCCCTTCACTCTGCCCAATACCTGAATGGTGCCAGATCTTTGCAGCAGGTGCCCCCCTCTATACTATTTCACCTCTCTTCCTGTCCTCTGCAGTGAGCATTCAGTAGTTGCTGCCTGGGGGTAAATACCTAGCACTGGATCTCTCTGCATTGTGTTCATTGTGTTGCTCCTTCCCCAGAAAAAATGCTAAGGGGAAACAAACCCAAGTGTAGAGACCTGAAGAGCCCCTCTGCCTAGGCTAGGGCCTACATACCTGAGATAGTAGAAGCAAATAGGTTGCCCTACCATTGGTAAAGCACAATCCCAGCCATGCGTGCAGCTAAAATGGCAGGCAGCATGAGGGGCAGGACACACCACAGCCCCTGTTAAAGGCAACCCTTTCATGAGTGATGGGCAGGCAGAGAGGGGTGTTTGGCAGTGTGCCCTCACTGCCAGACGTTCCACTCTGAAATGGCCGCTGGTGTCTTGCTAACGCTCCCACTTGAGGCGAGAGGAAAAGGCACACAGCTAATCCCAGGCCCTCACTATAGATGCAGACTAGGGTTGTTTTCAGGCCTGGTTCCCTCTTTCCACTATTCTTTAGCGTGTGTGAAACTGTCATGGAGTGAATGTGGAGCAGGAATTAGCTGCAGGATTAATGGGCCCAGTTCTCATTCCAAAATATAGCTTCAAACCCCAGAGGAAGCAGCCTGAACTCCCCCAGGCCAGCACAGGACTTCCTCCAGTGAAGAAACCCGCAGCCAGAGGGAACCTCCTCTTTGTCCCTGGTGGGAGCTCTCTGATCTCGCTAGGCCCTGAGGAAGGCTCCTTGCTCTGAGCTATCCTTCCTCTGCAGCCCAAGGGAGAATCCTCCCCCACATGAACCTGCCACAGGCTGTCTTGTATTTTCATCCCGGAGGGATCTCCCTCCCTCCCCCATCAGACTCCAGCACAGGCTCTGTCCTATTCCCAGAGCCAAAGGAGCCCTCTCCCAGCCTAGCGGCTGTTTCCTGTTCTAATCCCAGGTACAGTGGTCTTGGTTGTGCCCATCGAAGGTGCTTTATAAACTGAAGTATAGATTGCCACTCCCATCCTTGCCCATGGCCCTGCCTGGAGCTCTGTGCATTCATTACCAGCAGGGGGGCATTAATTGGCTAGCACTAAACATCCAAGCTTTTCACAGATCTAGCCATGG